CCAGAACGATCAAAACTCAAACTAAATGGATAACTCAATTGATTAGACTGTGAACCCTCTCCATAACATCCAACTAAACATCGAAAACCATTCAGATCCGAACCAACAATTCGATCGTTGCCTATATCCGCAATGAATAAATACTTCTCAGCATTTAAGACAATTCCAGTTGGACAACGAAGTGAAATTGTTGGAGTTAGTGAGGTACTTCCAGCTACTGTGATTCCATTTGATTCCTCAGGTTGGAACAACTGAACGCGATCGTTTCCACAATCTGCCACATATAGATCCAAGTTGACATCCACAGAGATTCCACCTGGATAATTTAGTTCATTCGAGGCTGATCCTTCAAAACCTGTTCCAGCAGCAACACGATTCGGAGTCATCACAGGATCATTCAACGATCTTTTCACTACTTCAGCGAAAAGAGACATTGAACAGTAAAGAGTATTATCGATATCGACAAATAAACCGTCACATTGTGAACGAACATTCATTACCGTGACAAAGATATTTGTTTCTGCTATCCATTTCTGCACTTGACCATGCTCAATACCATCATCAATGTAAATATCGCCATTTGACGATACGAAGAGAGAAGAGGAATGTGTGAAGTTACCATAAATGATTTTTGTTGAATTGACACTCTCTTCATGCCATACGACAATTGTGTTCTCTTCTTGATTCACGACATAGATCGTGTTGTTTGTGTGCACAAAAATACCGGTAGGATTATAACCAACAATCGATCGATTAGCAATGGTAATTGCATTGGAATCCCAAATGGGTATTGAAGAAAATCGTGGTTGATTGAATGAAAGAGCTGAAAATAAGAAAAATAGAAAGAACATTAGAGAAGAATGGTAAACGAAATGAAATTGGTAATTTGTTTATTTTCCAAAAAATTTATTGAGATTAATTTTGGAAGAATTTCTGTCATTGTTGTTATATATTCTCGGATGAGTTTATCGAAGAAAATCAATTTGTTTTGATTTTTTCAAAAAGACGATTAGATGACCTTCGATATGTGCTAAACAAAAATATCTACCTGATATTTCATTGTTGAGAATGAGAAGAAGAAGAATAATGATAAATACGTAGATATTCCACATCATTCAACAAGATTCTTTCCTGATAAATTAGTCAACTGAGGAGATAATTTTCTTCTTCTTCTTCGACAAAAACAATATAACACTCATTGTGGATTTTCTCTTTAGTTATATCTCTCTCTCCTTTTCTCTCATTCATTTCTTCCATCATAATACAAAGAAAAAAATAGCGTTCCGGAGAAGACTTGGTTGTAGATAAGACAAAGACTTGATTATTAAAGACAAATTGATCATTTAGTTTTCTATTTTCCGTTGAATTTCATTTCTCGGCGAAATTATAAAATGGAATTTAAATTTAGAATGATTGTTTTCTTTTTTGATTTTATAGAAACATGTTTGGTTTTAGTGAAGAAGAACGTGATAAAGAGAAAGAACAAATTGATCACAATATAGGTTAATCATCGAACGTGTTTTAAGTGAAAATAAGATATCAACTATCATCGTCAATGAGTTAGTCATGATTAATTTAATGTTTTTTTTAGTTGTATTTATTAAATAATCTGCTTTGTCAGGACTCATT